AGACTTTCCACCCAGAAACTCTTCTTGTACATACTTTTCACCCATTACTTTTCACCGAGAAACTCTTCACCCAGAAACTCTTCTTGCACATACTTTTCGCCCATATACTTTTCACCCAGAGGCTCTTCACCCAGAAACTCTTCTCGCACAGACTTTTCACCCATATACTTTTCACCCAGAGACTCACCCAAAAACTCTTCACCCAGAAACTCTTCTTGCACATACTTTTCACCCCCTCAGACTTTTCACCAAGAACCTCTTCACCCAGAAACTCTTCTTGCACATACTTTTCACCCATATACTTTTCACCTTTTCACCCAGAAACTCTTCACCGAGAAACTCTTCTTGTACATATTTCTCACCTATATACTTTTCACCCAGAGACTCTTCACCCAGAAACTCTTCTTGCACATCCTTTTTACCAAGAAACTCTTCACCCAGAAACTCTTCTTGCACATACTTTTGGCCCATATACTTTTCAGCAGACTCTTCACCCAGAGACTCTTCACCCAGAAACTCTTCTTGCACAGACTTTTCACCCATAAACTTTTAACCCAGAGACTCTTCACCCAGAAACTCTTCTTGCACATACTTTTCACCCATATACTTTTCACCCAGAGACTCTTCACCCAGAAACCCTTCTTGCACATACTGTGCACCCATATTCTTTTCACCCAGAGACTCTTCACCCAGAAACTCTTCTTGCACATACTGTTCACCTAGGGACTCTTCAACCAGAAACTCTTCTTGCACATACTTTTCACCCATATACTTTTCACCCAGAGACTCTTCACCCAGAAACTCTTCTTGCACAGACTTTTCATCCATCTTCTTGCACATACTTTTCACCCATATACTTTCCACCCGGAGACTCTTCACCCAGAAACTCTTCACCCAGAAACTCTTCTTGCACAGACTTTCCACCCAGAAACTCTTCTTGTACATACTTTTCACCCATTACTTTTCACCGAGAGACTCTTCACCCAGAAACTCTTCTTGCACATACTTTTCACCCATATACTTTTCACCCAGAGACTCTTCACCCAGAAACTCTTCTTGCACATACTTTTCACCCATATACTTTTTACCAGAAACTCTTCACCCAGAAACTTATCTTGCACATACTTTTCACCCATATACTTTTCACCCAGAGACTCTTCACCCAGAAACTCTTCTTGCACATACTTTTCACCCATATACTTTTCACCCAGAGACTCTTCACCCAGAAACTCTTCTTGCACAGACTTTTCACCCAGAAACTCTTCACCCAGAAACTCTTCTTGCACATACTTTTCACCCATATACTTTTCACCTTTTCACCCAGAAACTCTTCACCGAGAAACTCTTCTTGCACATACTTTTCACCTATATACTTTTCACCCAGAGACTCTTCACACAGAAACTCTTCTTGCACAGACTTTTCACCCAGAGACTCTTCACCCAGAAACTCTTCTTGCACATACTATTTACCAGTATACTTTTCACCCACAGACGGATGCACCATATATTTCTCACCCACAGTCTTTCCCCCCATATACTTTTCACCCAGAGACTCTTCACCCAGAAACTCTTCTTGCACAAACTTTTCACCCAGAGACTCTTCACCCAGAAACTCTTCTTGCACAGACTTTTCGCCCATATACTTTTCACCCAGAGACTCTTCACCCAGAAACCCTTCTTGCACATACTGTGCACCCATATACTTTTCACCCAGAAACCCTTCTTGCACATACTTTTCACCCAGAGACTCTTCACCCAGAAACTCTTCTTGCACAGACTTTTCAGCCAGAGACTCTTTACCCAGAAACTCTTCTTGCACATACTTTTCACCCATATACTTTTCACCCAGAGACTCTTCACCCAGAGACTCTTCACCCAGAAACTCTTCTTGCACATACTTTTCACCCATATACTTTTCACCCAGAAACTCTTCTTGCACAGACTTTTCACCCAGAGACTCTTCACCCAGAAACTCTTCTTGCACAGACTTTTCACCCATATACTTTTCACCCACAAACGGATCATTCATATACTTCTCTCCCACAGACTTTTTCCCAATTTACTTTTCACCCATATATGTTTCACCCAGAGACTCTTCACCCAGAAATTCTTCTTACACATACTTTTCACCCATACACTGTTCACCCAGAGACTCTTCACCCAGAAACTCTTCTTGCACAGGCTTTCCACCCAAACTTTTCTTGCACATACTTTTCACCCATATACTTTTCACCCAGAGACTCTTCACCCAGAAACTCTTCTTGCACAGACTTTTCACCCAGAGACTCTGCACCCAGAAACTCTTCACCCAGAAACTCTTCTTGCACATACTTTTCACCCATATACTTTTCACCCAGGGACTCTTCACCCAGAAACTCTTCTTGCACATACTTTTCACTCATATACTTTTCACCCAGAGACTCTTCACCCAGAAACTCTTCTTGCACAGACTTTTCACCCAGAGACTCTTCACCCAGAAACCCTTCTTGCACATACTTTTCACCTATATACTTTTCACCCAGAGACTCTTCACCCAGAAACTCTTCTTGCACATCCTTTTTACCCAGAAACTCTTCACCCAGAGACTCTTCACCCAGAAACTCTTCTGACACCTATTTTTCACCCATATACTTTTCACCCAGAGACTCTTCACCCAGAAACTCTTCTTGCACCATACTTTTCACCCAAATACTCTTCACCCACAGACTCTTCACCCAGAAACTCTTTTTGCACATACTTTTCACCCATATACTTTTCACCCACAGAGTTTTCCCCCATATACTTTTCACCCATAAACTTTTCACCCAGAGACTCTTCACCCAGAAACTCTTCTTGCACAGACTTTTCACCCCCTCAGACTTTTCACCAAGAACCTCTTCACCCAGAAACTCTTCTTGCACATACTTTTCACCTGTATTTATATATATATATATACTTTTCACCCAGAGACTCTTCACCCAGAAACTCTTCTTGCACATACTTTTTACCCAGAAACTCTTCACCCAGAAACTCTTCTTGCACATACTTTTCACCCATATACTTTTCACCCAGAGACTCTTCACCCAGAAACTCTTCTTGCACATACTTTTCACCTATATACTTTTCACCCAGAGACTCTTCACCCAGAAACTCTCCTTGCACATCCTTTTTACCCAGAAACTCTTCACCCAGAAACTCTTCTTGCACAGACTTTTCACCCATATGCTTTTCACCCACAGGCGGATCAACCATATACTTCTCACCCACAGACTTTTCCCCCATATACTTTTTACCCATATACTTTTCACACACAGACTCTTCACCCAGAAACTCTTCTTGCACAGACTTTTCACCCCCTCAGACTTTTCACCCAAGAAAACCGGACCTAGGGGGAATCGATACCCACCGTCACTGTTTTGCCGCATGGTACAGTACCCTGAAAAACCATACTTTTTGCGCGCCTAAAACACCACCTATTTACAATGTTTTGGGTCCCTTGAGACACCTACCCCCCCAGACCCCCTATTCTCACTTCGTTCGCAAATAACAACTAGCCAGCTTCCTGGCTGGCTTTCGTAATGAATGAGCATATCATCCAAAACAATGAATCATTTTTTGCGGGTCCCGACCCAAGTTCCAACCAGACATGTTCAGCCCATCCCAGAGTTTTCCCCAGCATTGTCCTTCGTTCTCATGTTGGCCATCAGATGGGTGTCAGCAAAACATCGGTCGAAAGCCTGCTCTGGAAATATGTTTGGAAACACCAAAAATATCCAAAAATGATAAATTCATGATTGCATGTTTCAATATATTTGTGGTTCAAATGTTTTGAGCCTAAGTGCGTATCAAACTAAATACAGTAAACCATGACGGTTTTACTTCTGAAAATGCAAGGACATGAAGGTAACAATCGGTCCAGACATTTGGAGGGTTCCCTGCCAAAACACTCTTTAAAAATTGATTAAGATATATTATATATAATGATCCTTGCATATCCTTGCTAAAGACTCGCTTGGAATGCTCTTGCGCAGCACTCATCTACCATCCTTGACACAGAATGACACAGATATACCCAACTTCCTATGGTCAGCCACAGTTTGAACCCTGGTCGTGGCACTCAGGCCATGCTTTTCGATCACTCGAAAACTACAACAGCTCGAACGAACCCTTCTAAAGTAGCTGCAATAGTGTTGTCTCAAGATGTCTCAAGTCATGCAAAACAACAGTTCAGAAGATGCAATTTGTTGATTTCGCGTTCCTTTTTTAAGGTTCTTCCGCAGGTTTTCGAAGTGAGTCCATTCCGAACTGGTCCGCGACCCTGGCAAGTTCACCACCAGCTGTGGAACACTTGTGAGACAATTTGGAGGACTGCTTGTCACTGCTAGTTTTGTGAATTCCTCTTTTCAGCTACGATAAACTCAGAAAAGGGGTTTGAATCAAAGTGTGTAGCAAGGTGCGGTCGGAGAAACCCCTTTGTGGTGCAGGAAAAATGTCATGTGACACGCAAAAAAGAAACAGAACTCAACACCGGCGGTATCCCTGGGTTCACTGGACATTCGAACGCAGAAACATGCCAAGCGGAATGTTGAGATCACGATGATGTGGTTCCTTCCGCAAATGGAGAAAACTCCGGTTTTCGCTTGCGAACTCATGGTTCCATGCTATGTTTTTACCACAATTTTGGAATAGCAATCAAGTCGAATGAGTGTAGACCAACTCTTTTGGTCAGCCATTGATGGGTTGCTGTTCACAAAAAAAAAATGTTCCGAGACACAGTGCGACATACAGTGGGAGACAAGCTGGGAGACAAAGCGGCAGAAGAGGTTCCAAGGTTCTGTGTGGGAGACACGGTGCGACACACGGTGGGAGACTAGCTGACAGACAAGTGCGAGACAAGGTGGGAGACACAATGCGAAACACAGTGGCAAACAAGTTTGGAGACAAGTGGAAGACACAGTAGCAAACAAGGTTCCAATGTTCCTGGTGGGTGACAAATGAGAAAAAATTGGAAACACACAATGGGAGACACAGTGGGAGACAAAGTTCCGAGGTTCGCGGAACCCTGCGCAATCCTGCGCATGCCAGAAGAGGGGGGAACTGCTACACAATGAATAAAGATTGAAACCCAACAACTTCCTGCTGTTGGGAACAAGTGGGGGACAAGTGGGAGACAAGTGCTAAAAAGCGGGCGACAAGCGGAGAAAAAGTGGGAGACAAGTAGGAGACAACTGGGACGCAATAGGGAAACAAGCGGGAGACAAGTAGAACAGGTGGGAAACAAGTGGGAAAGAAGTGGGGGACAAGTGGTACGCACGAAGGAAAGGTGTTGGCGATTCCGCATCTGTCCTTTTCCTGGTTCTTTTCAGGGTCTGACTTCCTCTCAGCTACGTCAGTCGAGACATCAGCCTTTGACTCTGGTTCCACCGTCATTTTTGCCTCAAGTTCGTTTCTCAACCAGGCTTCAAGATGTGGAAAATGCATTAACTAGTCAGGTCAAACTCGACAGAAGCACATGTCTCAGGCTCGAGGAATCCATTGCAACACTTTGATATGTTTGTACTGGACGAGGTTTCATCACTTCAGCCAAGAGAAAATGTTGGCGGGATAGCCACAATCGCTCGTTGTGTATTGTTGCGCTATTGGGGAAATAGTCGAGTTCATTGCACCTGCTACTCCACATTTTTTGGGGGGGTTGCACAACATTCGCTGCCTTGCCTTCTACAGTTGCCGCTGCTGAAGCTGTCTCAAGCATGGACACAATGACCACTTGCCATGCCAGCTTTTGCCTTCAGTAAAGACAGACTTTGGCCAAATTCTCTGGCATGCTTGACTTGGGCTCTCATGATACACCCAAGTACTTTCCAAACATATGAGGCTCGACCCCTTTGCTTCTGCCACACCAAGTGCCAACTGCAGGGCTGCTGATGCACTAGCAGTGGAGTTGTCAACATTTCTCTGTCTTTCTCCACTTCCAAGTCAGGTCACATGCAGGCTGCATCGAGGCGTCCATCTGCATCTTTTATCCACCTACTGTTTTACAGATTCTTTGACGCCGCTCTGCACACCATCAAGCTCTGAGATACGTGTTGCCTGGATAGATTTCCGGTGAAGACGAGATTGAAGCGCTTGCAGCGTGGCCTATGCAACGGATCCTCCCGAGTCCGTTTGACGAAGCGCAAACCCCAGACTCCCTGCGAATAGGGTTGTCCGAAAATGCTTCCTTTGCCGTGCCAGTTTCTGACTTCAGGTAAAACAACGCGCTCTTTGATTTGCCCAACTACCTTCCAAGCCCGTGAGGCTCCATCCCTGCGTTCTCCTGTAGAGAGTGCCAGTTACATGGCTGTTGAAGCATTCCAGGCACAGTTTCCGATGTTTCCAATGTTTCCAAGTCAAGCTTGCTGGAACCAATTTCTAAGCATCAATCTACCTGCTTTCTTGCGTTTGTTTGAAAGCGTCCTGCACGCTCTCCAGTCACCGTGTATGCCTGCCCACATGACCTTCTGCACAACATGCACATCCAAAGAAAGCAACATCGATCAATCGTGGTGAAGAAGAGATGTTGCAGCTAATGGCAACCAACGCCTCCTTTCGAAGCATTGCCAGTTGGCTTTCTGACAAGATTGCGTCAGTTTCCCGCAACAGCTTCCTTTGCCATGCCAGTTTCTGACTTCAGGTAAAACAACGCGCTCTTTGATTTGCCCAACTACTTTCCAAGCCCGTGACGCTCGATCCCTGCATTCTCCTGTACAAAGTGCCAGTCGCACGGCTGTTGAAGCACTCACGGCATGATTTTCCGCAATGTATCTTGCTTTGACCTGAACGAAGACACTTTTCTAGGCGCATGGAATTCTGTTCCCTTTCAAGGTCTAAATCTTCTCAACTTAGTCAAACAATATTTTTGCCAGGGATAAACATGGTGTGGGCGCCTCTAAGAGGCCGTGCGTTTTTGCACATGGATATATTTCTATTCAATGATGTTCCAAGGTTTCGCCACAACGAGAGCGGTTTTTCACAGATATTTATATTTTGTGGGTGTGTCAAAAGTCATGGAAGGGTATGGAAAAATGAGAGTCTCGGTGTGATTTCACTGGTTTTTGTCGGACGAAAGCCATCATGTTGGAAAAGGCAGCTGTACGCTTTTTCTTCTGTGTTGCCGACGTCTTTGTTTCAGCCGCTTTTGCGGCAAAGGTCTCCCAGACATTTGTACATGTCGTTGTGGCAATTTCTTCGCCAGAGAAAAACCCAGACACATTTCATGATGTCTGTCTCATTCAAATAGCCAGCTTTTCTATTGTTCAATGTCTTTGGGATACTTTTTATCAACGTAGCATCAACGTATCATCAACAAATGATCAGCGTGACATCCGTGTATCAACAGCGCACGATCAACGAAGCATCAAAGTATGATCAACGTAACATCAACGTAGCATATACGTCGCATCACCTTGCACGCAAGAGACATGAACGTTATTACACCCCCCCCCCCCCCCCCCCCACCCCACCCCACCCCAACCAACCAGTAGCCTCAACGGCTCCTCAACGTAGCATCAAAGTATGATCAACGTAACATCAACGTAGCATATACGTCGCATCACCTTGCACGCAAGAGACATGAACGTTATTACACCCCACCCCACCCCACCCCAAAAACATCAAAAACGCAGGGCCTCTTAGAGGCGCCCATACCATAAACATGGATAGACTCGGGGAAAACCCGTGCCCAAAATAGATGGTAAGCATGGTGTTCAATGCTTGTCTGTATCAATCTATGATCGGTCGTGCGTTGGGGGGGCCTGGCTGCAACAGGGCTCTACCGGACACGTTTGAGACCCTGAGTCAACTGAGAGTTTCAAGGCGAGGACTCACTAACTTGAGACAGTGACTCTGTGAGTCCTTGGGCCTTCGCTTCGCCGCTTCACCTTCGGTTTCAAGAATCCGAATCTAAGGACAGCCGGCGGATCAGTTTCTCAGCAACCAGACTTGCAGCGGTTAATCCAAAGCGATCAAGCGATCAACGGATGCGGCGGCACACATCGGGCCTCCGGGCCTCGCGCCGCGGGGTCAAGGCCGCTGGGATGGGTCGAGTTGTGAATCTGCTGGCCCAAAACAAATTCAACAAATCATAGCAATTCATAGCAAGTACACATGAATACTTAAATGATCGTTTGGTGGAAAATGTGGAAACCGGGAAAGAAAACACAAAAACAGCGAGCCTGTTACTCAAGGCAACACGAAAGAATCCCAAACAGGTACCCACTCCCTGTCCTCCATAGTGCCATATAGTTCTAGTTCCACCAGCCATGGCGTGCTTGGTGCAACACGGAAACTACTTCCTAGAAAGCTGAAAAATCTCATGAAGTTGTTGGTTCCAACGAGAAACCTACATATCTAATGCTCCATAGGAACAGGTTTGTACTTTCGTGGTTCTTCGCTGATTTGTTCTTATTGTTCAGGAGCCAAGAGACAACATCCGCTGAGTTTTTCAAGAGCATTTTCCCCCTGCTGTTCAATGTTCAACGCTGCAACCCTGATTTGCTTTGAAAAAGATGGTCTTTCAATGTGAATTTTATCCATATCCCGGCTGCGTGGAGCTGCTCATTTTCTCACGAAGCGATGCTGACGTAAACGACCAGGCCTCAGCAAACCATGGATGAGAATCGAAGGCAAGCACTGCAATCCGCAGCACATGGACAGAAGTCTTTGTATAATTGACAGGAACCTATCTCAATTGTCACGGAGTCAGCATCTTTTGTCCACAAAAAAGATAGCAAATGTCAGTGGTAAAAAAAGGCAAACTAAGCTGAAACCCATCATGAATCATTGGATAAATATGGATAAATATATAGTGAATGTATATAGTGAATATATATATATATATATATAGTGAATATAGTGGATTAAAATAAATTATGCCATCATGGCATGGCTTTTAAATTTACACAACTGTTCCCCAGTCAGCATCCCCCAGTCATCCGGTGAAATCTGGGGTCCTTCAAAAATCCATGGTATGTCCATTCTTTTAAGAAGTGTTTCGGCCTCAACGTTTTTCTCAACCGCTAACTTGTAATCCATGCTTTGTTGCGTCACCAAAGGTATTTGAAACATGTCCATGACAACATCTTACAACATCTTACAACCACCTCAGTATTCCACTTCCTTAGCCGAGCACAGAAACTGCAGTCAAGTCACGCGGGAAAATGTCCCAGCAGGCCTCCGAGGTTGTGAGAACTGCAGTCACTGCAGTCGCTCCTCGGCCCTGAAGGAGTTTGGTGTCGGCGGTGTCGGATCCCTGGCTTATGCAGGTTGGGTAAGTCGAGGGATCAGAAATATTCAGAAATAAGATTTGGGGGATCAGAAATGACATGACCTGCGCCATCTCTTGGAGCTGCTGTGAGATAGACTTGCATCACACGCGACGCATGTCACCTTTTTTGTGATGAGTTTGGGCAAATGCTCTTTGGCATTAGCCTTTTAGAAACAAGTCATGCGCGCCTGTAGTTTTTGAACTCAAACAGACTGCAAACATCAGGACCGAAGTGGCACCAGACCCCTCTTAGCTTCAGGTGACTTCTGCTCTTCCAAATCGGATCCTCTCCTTACCTGGAAAAGGGTTGGATCCTGAAAGTCTTTGGGGCACACGTGCATTTCTCCCTCCACAGGTCCGTTTGTTGGCGGAAAATCAAAAGCTTCAGGCATGCGATTTCAAGACAGCGAGCAGGACCCAGAAGGAAGAAGTCGTCAAAGAACGAGTCCGTGTTTTGGTGCAAGTGAAGTTGCAAGTACGCAGATCTGCGAACACAAGTCTGCTGGCAGTTGCGGCCAATGATTTTTTGACCTTTCAGCCATCACTCGACAGACCGGCGCAAACGGAGAGTTTTGGACTTTCACGGGCTGGCTTCATGCACAAGCTTTTGCACTTCCGTAACTTTTCTAGAATCAGCGACGCTTATCCCTACAAATGTGGTGCAGAGGTGCAGGCCCCTTTCCCCATGCTCTGGCACAAACCTGCGATGAAGATCTGTAGACATAAGCCCATTTGCAGGTGCGGCCACTGACTGCTTGGCCTGCATGTGCTACACATACTGGGCCTTCTCACACACAGAGACTATGTGAGACTTTAACTGGTTGGCTTGAATGGTTCATCAATTTTTTTGAACGCTGCAAACAATCTGGGACCCACCGACACTATCAACCTTTGCAAACATGTTGCAAAGGTTGCTAGCCCTGCTGGCGTGGCACAAACTGCCGAGAGTCTCTTGTCAACCTTTGGACCAGCTCCGTCTCTCAAGCAAAGGACAAGCGAGCAGGACCGAAAAGGAAGAAGTCGTCAAAGAACGAGCCCGTGTTTTGGTGCAAGTGAAGTTGCAAGTACGCAGATCTGCGAACACAAGTCTGCTGGCAGTTGCGGCCAATGCTTTTTTGACCTTTCAGCCATCACTCGACAGACCGGCGCAAACGGAGAGTTTTGGACTTTCACGGGCTGGCTTCATGCACAAGCTTTTGCACTTCCGTAACTTTTCTAGAATCAGCGACGCTTATCCCTACAAATGTGGTGCAGAGGTGCAGGCCCCTTTCCCCATGCTCTGGCACAAACCTGCGATGAAGATCTGTAGACATAAGCCCATTTGCAGGTGCGGCCACTGACTGCTTGGCCTGCATGTGCTACACATACTGGTCCTTCTCACACACAGAGACTATGTGAGACTTTAACTGGTTGGCTTGAATGGTTCATCATTTTTTTTGAACGCTGCAAACAATCTGGGACCCACCGACACTATCAACCTTTGCAAACATGTTGCAAAGGTTGCTAGCCCTGCTGGCGTGGCACAAACTGCCGAGAGTCTCTTGTCAACCTTTGGACCAGCTCCGTCTCTCAAGCAAAAGACAAGCGAGCAGGACCCAAAAGGAAGAAGTCGTCAAAGAACGAGTCCGTGTTTTGGTGCAAGTGAAGTTGCAAGTACGCAGATCTGCGAACACAAGTCTGCTGGCAGTTGCGGCCAATGATTTTTTGACCTTTCAGCCATCACTCGACAGACCGGCGCAAACGGAGAGTTTTGGACTTTCACGGGCTGGCTTCATGCACAAGCTTTTGCACTTCCGTAACTTTTCTGGAATCAGCGACGCTTATCCCTACAAATGTGTTGCAGAGGTGCAGGCCCCTTTCCCCATGCTCTGGCATCAGCAATTTTTTTGAAAGCCTCAAACAATCTGGGACCCACCGACACTACCAACCTTTGCAAACATGTTGCAAAGGTTCCTAGCCCCGCCGGCGTGGCGCAAACTGCCGAGAGTCTCTTGTCAACCTCTGGACCAGCTCCGTCTTTCAACTCAGTCTTCAAACAAAGGACAAGCGAGCAGGACCCAGAAGGAAGAAGTCGTCAAAGAACAAGTCCATTATGTTGTTCAATGTACTTGCATGCAGATAGAGACACCACCTGTGACTGGAGATTTGGGGTTATGTTCAAAGAAAGACTCGATTAATCAGCACCTGGGCAGCAGCATGTTGCAGCTACAGCAGACCGATGTTCTTCAGCCCATGAAGAAAAAAACGAGCAGCGCAACCTGCCTGAAAGCATACTGCATAGGGACTTACTTGGCGGTCGAGCTGATGCAGCTAGACGAACCTGCTTGCACGGCGATGGATTTTGAAGCTTGGCAACACTTTCCCGTGCGAAAAAGCAAAGGGAACAAACTGGGACCACCATTTACCCAGCTCGGCGCGACGTTCATACCACTTTGAAG